CAGCCCGAATCCCAACGTGGCCGAGCGCCTCTTGGGGAACTACGGCCAAGATTCGCGACGGGGGCCCCGGGGCGCCGCCGCACCTTGCAGCCAGTTGAGGGAGCTCTCGGTCTTGGTGGGCCGCGTGGTCTGGCTGCGGGAGATGGCCGGGTCGTTCCCCTGGAAGCTGCTGACCGTTCCGGTGTACAGCTCGCCCTCTGCCAGGAGAACATTCCCATGGGAACGGCCCCTCGGCCCGGCCCTTCTTCCAGCGCGGGGCCGGGGTGACCCCAGGCCGCCGTCTCCCTTGAGGTGGGCAGAGCGGGAGTGGAACGGGGAGAAGCCCCAGCTCACGGCAGCCCAGCCGCTGCCCGGCCCCTGGGAGCCAGCTCAGGTCTCAGGGAGCCCCCGCCGCCCTGCCCCCACCCAGCACTCACCAACCACCAGGGCCGTGGACTTGAAGTTGGGGTCGAAGGGACAACGGCCCTTGCCATCCTCCAGGAGGACTTTCCCCGCCCCGTCCCGAGCCAGAGTGAAGTTCGCCAGGCTCTGCGGGGTGAGGGCCGGGTGAGCGGAGCGGGGGCCCAGGGAGCGTGAAGGCTCCGGGGCGCAGCCCTGGGGACCCGTGTCTGGGCGTGACGAGTTCCCGGTGTAGCCCACTGTTGGGCCGGGGCCCAGCCCCCAGCCCCCGGCCGGCGCTGCTTCCGCGGTGCAGGGCAGAAGCACCAGGTGTGGTGTCGGGCACGGGGTCGGGGCGACGCCCCCCAGGAAGCCGGACGGCCCGCGGGGGGCACTCACGATGTAGGTGCACAGGGGGCTGAAGGCCGCAGTGCCGCACGCGAACAGGTGGCTGCTGTTGAGCGGCAGGAGGATCTTGATGTAGTTCTGACAGTCCCGCTGGGGAGGGGGCGGTCAGGCCCGGGGCGGTCAGGCCCAGGCCGGCCGGGGGCGGGGCAGCGCCCTCCCCACCCGAGGCCCTGGCCCCTGCTCTGGGGGCTCCCTCACCAGCAGAGGAACCCCCGGAGCCCGCCTGGGGGCGCGGGGGCCCCGCTAGCTCCGGGCGGTCTCTCCAGACCTTGGTGGACACTGCCAGGCCCTCGCTGCCCACCGGGGAGGAAGCCAGGCCCGCAGCGGGCCCAGACTCGGCCCCGAGGGTGTCCGCGGGGGGGCCGCCGAGCGCTCCCTGACGCGACGGGACTGCAGCAGCGGCCCAGCGGCTGAGGCCCCAACCTCAGGAGAAAAATTTCCCGCCAGGAAGCCCCGGAGCGTCCATGTCCGGCACACGACGTCCCCGCCCCGCCGTCCTGCGCGAGGCGCCTGGCCCGAGCGCCACGGCCGCCCCTCCCGCGTCCACGCCTGGGCGGCTGCGCTCCCACACAGGGCCGTGGCCACGACCGCCCCCAGCGGCAGGTCCCCATTCCCGAAGGCCAAGGCAGGGCCCTCGCTGCCCCTGGGGGTGCCGGGGGAGGCAGCCTGGGGGGTGCTGGGGCGCCCCAGGGTGGGCCGGCCACCGGCTAGACTGACCCGCCGGGCCAGTCCCCGGCACCGCAGCAGGTGACCCGTCCCACAGGAAGCCTCACGCAGGGCCCCGTCCCGCAGTGGACACAGCAAGGCCACCGGAGGCGTGGCAGCTCCACCTGCAGGGGGCAGGGCACCCGCGGAGGCCGGGCTCTGGCGCCAGC